TACTCAAAAAACCTCGTAAAACAGGACAAAAATATATTTTGCAATAAAATATGTTATGGTTGATGTTTGATCTTTAGTATATCATTTGTTTTTCATCTATAATTTTGTTAAAATGATATTTTCTGAAATATTTTATGTGTGCAGCCTACAACAGCTCACCAAAACTTAAGTGGCCTGCCAACTGAAATAATTGTCCACCCCTTCTCCAGAGGTATAAGTACAAGTGTTGCTCTGGGCACCAGCTGAAGGCTACACACAGACAAACCAGTTGTATATGGTTACATAGTCGTTCAGTCAAAACTAGCTGGAGATGACACTAGCCACAGAAAGACAGCGTTCAAAATTAAAGGAGACTCAAGCAGACCTCTGGTCAAAGAGAAGTCTTAAGTATTTTCTGACTGATCCCCTGGCACCTTGCTTAGGGGGAAGAGAGAAGGCAGAGTTTAAAAAGATTGAGCTGAATCCCATAGGTGGGCTAATGAGGGTCTACCTTGAGTTATGTATTACAAGGTTGGAGACCTGTAACTTCATACTGGACCCACGTAACTGCCTCAGATGTTATGTATATAAGACTGCAGCCTTGTCAGTTAAGTCTGTCCTGCTGTGTCTTCATTCAGCAGTGTGCCCTGGTTAAGAGCCATATAGTCCTGCTTAATATATAATAGTGTTTCCAATTCTCTGTTGGATTAAAATGATTTTTAAAGACACCTTAGATTTCTTCCTGTTTACCCTGGGTGTCACTCCCAGGCTAAGTAAGTGTTGTATTTTAAGGAGGATGTGCCATCATTTCATGTGTAACAAAGTGATTGAATCCTTGCTTTAACTGCAGCTTTTCTGGCTGATCCTTCCACAATAGTCTTGAGTATTTTTCAGTTTCTGTTTCATTGTAAATTGTTGGTTAATGAATAGCAATTAATTTTCCCTGTTTTTTTTTTATCATTTCTTAATTTCTTTCAACTGTAGAATGCATCATTTTAAGCAAGCCTAAAAGTAGCCATGCCAGGATTATTTTAAGTCAGAATGAGCCTTATGATTCAGAATGTTCATTTTGAGCTATTCCCCGTGGATGGGATCTATCCAAAAAGTAGGACTTTGCTCACTGACAGTAAGAACGGTAGAATCTGGCCCTGTTGCAATATGCTTTATTTAGAAGCATGTTAGGGACCATTTTATTTAAAATTGTTATATAACTGGATCTGTCTTAGCTGTAAAATTCATGGAGATTGGCTCTAAATTCAGCATAATCAATATATACATGTCTAACATTATGGTCTCCTCAGTGATTTTGTGTATTAAGCTAACTTTATGCTTTTAAATTCAAGCTTTACTTACAAATAGGAAAACTGTTTATGTAAAATGATACCTCACATACCTAGTTATTGCAGTACTGTGTGCATTCATCTTCAGGAAAGATTGTAACATTGACACTGCTAACAGAGGCACACATCGGCTTTTTTCCGTATATACATGACTGTGTTCCTTCTTGTTGAAATAGCGCAGAAGTCTTCTATGCAGCTGCCTAAGTGTATTATATATCACTGTAATGACTCGCTGTCAGTGTATTCTTTTAATTAACAATGTGTTCTCTCTCTCTTTCCCTTTTTTTCTCTTTCTGTAGTAACAGCATGCTTTCCACTTCTTTTTCATTAAATGACCTTACATTACATTTGTCTTGACTGGCTTCTGTTTACAGAAATTGTAAACCAGTTGAATGCTCTGAGCAGCTTAGATGAAGATCAAGATGACTGCATAAAGCAAGCAAATATGCCTTCAGCTAAATCAGCCAGTTCCTCTGAAGGTCTATGAGCTTTCCTCCTTTCTTTCTGTTTCTGATTGTCTGTATTTACTGTGACCTGTTACCTTTTGACTTCTGCTTGTATTCAGCTGTCAGTTTTATCTTTGTACTTTCTAGCCAATGTGAATTTCAGTAATTTGTAGTGCATCCAACAGGTAACAACACGACAGAGAGGCTCTCTCTTCAGCCACTGCAGTGTCAAATGAGTGTGAACAGGAAGTAAAAACCATATAATTAAAATATTATTTGTGCAGTGAATGATGCTTACCTATTATAACTTGATAAAATGTTCTGTCCTTGACTTTAACACTGATGTTAAATAGAAATACGAGAATTTCTTATTGGCAGTGAAAAAGATACATGAATAAAGCATATTCTGAAATCAAGCTGCTGTATATAGCTTTCTAGATATATTACAATATTTATTTATTGAATCAGATCCAGAGGTCTTGTGCTGCAGTGTAGCAGGTCAGTACTACATTCTAAACAATTCTGCGAATATCTTTCATTCTGTTTATTTCTTCTGGTTGCAAATGTTGGTGTGCTACAAAATACATTCATTTAAGTTCTACAGTTGGTAATGGGCCTCAGTTCATTTCTCCCAGGGATCATTTGTGTGGTTTTTTTTTAACTTAAAATGTGCTTAGTGAACACTTTTTGTATCCAAGCCTGGCTTTGGCCATATTGAAACATTTCCATTTATTTCCAGAGCTTATCAACAAACTTAATTTTTTGGATGAGGAGGAGCAAGACTTGGCCAATTCCAGTTCAGATCCATTTGGAGATCCTGATGCAGCAGAATTAAACCCATTTGGAGATCCTGATGCAGAAGGTAATGAATCTGGTATACATAATTCATTATTATTATTATTTACGGACCGAATAATACCTAAAACATTCTATTTTTCCCTTGAGGCTACAAATAAAAAATGTTGTTCTGGTAAACTAATGTTATTGCATGCAATACCAAGGCACCAATATCAGTAATTCTAATTGCCATTGGAAACAGAATGTCATCTCTCTAAGGAGACAAAACTAAGGCTTATTTTCTCTGTAGTCAATAGTTCATCTGCATATTGAATGAACTACTAGATATTAAAGGTCTAACCAGAATTCCAGTTAAGTAACATGTATATACAGCCCTTATGGTAGGTAACGTACAGCTGGGAACATAGTGATTGCCCATTTGGGTTGTTTAACCACATTTCAATAGAACACTAAAATGCAGTTCTGCAAAGTGTTCTTACTTATTAGTATATGAAAATCATCACATACAGAAGAGTACGACAAAACATAGCTACACATCAAGGTGTTTTTGAATTCTAAGAGTAAGAAATATTCTAAGAGTAAGAAATATTTAAAATGTATACATGTCTGTTACCTTGTAATGCTCTTGCTTACCCAATGAATGATATTTAGAGTACCCAAAGCAGGTTCCACTCCCCTCAACTCTCCTGCCATGACTTTGATGGAATATAATTCAAAGGAGGGGGTCAGCAGTGTATATACGGAAGTCCCAGCTTAGGGTACTCACAGTGTTTGGAACGGTTGATGTTTGGACTCCACCTCCTTTACACCCCATCCACACACCAACTGGTGCCATTGGTTGTGGCACCTCAGCCTTGTCCGGTTTAGATCTTTGGTAATTTATGTCTTAACTTCTGCTTCCTCAAGGAAATGCTGACTGGGTCTGACACTATTTTCCTGACCCTCTCAAAACTGTCTACCTTGTCCTCAAGGAGCTTCTCCCTGCAGTGGGCCTTGGATAAGGGCCCACTTGTCCCTTGGCTCTTGTGGCCTCTCAGAATAAAAATCAAGAATAGGAAAAAAACAAACAAACAAGGAAGCCGCCACTGTGGAGGAGTTATCTATTCAGGACCCAACATCCCCATTAGGATTTAGTTAATTCTCTTCGCTTCTATGGGAGCTGCCCCTTTCTCTATGCTGAGGCTCTATTTCTCAGCCTCTGCCTGCCAGAGCCTCTCTGCCCCTTACTAACAGGGCTGTTGTGGCCTGAGCACCACTCTGCCTTGGTGCCTGTAAACCATCTCTGCTCCAGCCTTAGTTGGCTTGGAAGCAGTTCCCTCCCTCTCTCTGCTGGCACTCTGAGTGTCTTTTAAATTGCCCGCGGCGGCGCCTGTGGCTGACGTCATCAGCTGAGCATTGCCAAGATTGATTGATGGTGAGCTTTTAAACCGTGGCAGTGCGTGCAGATGCAGCTCCTGCTCTCCCTGCCCTAAAGGTAAGTTTTCCCCTCTCCCTGGGGCTTTTTGCTCAGCCCATTCTGCATTGGCTAGGGGTCTCAGGGTATTTAGGGGGCGCGTATGGCTCCTGCTGTCACATACCTACTGGGGTATGCAAAATGGACCCTATTCAATTCAGATTCGGATTTGGCCCAATTTGGGGACAGTGATTCGTTTGTTGATTCAGATCACTGTCCCTGGTTCAATTCGGCTGAATCTGAATCTGAAGATTTGGCTGAATCTGAATTCAGCCATAGACACAGCTTTAAATGTTTTTTCTACATACCTCCAGGTACCAGGTGTGGGTCTTGAATGCTGTAATGCTGGGGCAGATGGAGCGTCCCACAGGAGTGCAGGGGGGCCCCCTGCATGCTTGGCGGAGAACCTGGAAGTGGACCGGAAATACTTCCAGTTCATTTCCAGGTCTGCTGGGGAGCGTGCTGGGGGGCTCCCACATCCCCCCCCCCCCCGGCTTGGCAGCTGGCCCCAAGGGGACCCCGGGGG